GGTCCTGGCTCGTGAAGCTTGGGTTCTTATAACACCCAAGGAAATCAAGGAAATCATAGAGAAAATGGACTCATCGCACCCGAAACCCTCACATGCGGCAATTGCTGACACGAGGCTTCCTCAAAAGGAGACGCGAAACTCGAAACGCCATACCCTTTTCAGCACGGACGGAGGTGCCCGCCAGCGCCCACGAAACTCGCAGCCCCATACCCTAAGCACCCTTTAAACCCGTAAGCCGTAAACTTAAAGTCCAAACCCTAAACCAACGAGCTTCGTCGCTGGAACTGTAGGCGGATTTGCCAGGTTTCAAACTGGAAATGAAGTTCCAAATTTTGGTTGGCCGCCCTTCCCCGCAAAAAAAAGCACCCAGGGCTCAGAAACGCCGCAGAAGGCTCAGACGCAAAGCACAAGACTGTCCGGCACTCTGATGGGTCGCGGTGCGGGTTTAGGGTTTGGGGCTGAGGGTCAGGACGTCGGGTTCTAGTACCTGCTGCTGCTTACTGCTGCTGCTGCTCGGCCTTCTGCTGCTGCGACTGCTGCTGCTGCTGCTGCCTCGGCCTCCTGCGCTGCTGTTGCTGCTGCTGCTGCCTCGGCCGCCTGATACTGCTACTCTGCTGGTGCCTCGGCTCCTGCTGGTGCTAATGCTGCGCTGCTGCTGCCTCGGCCTCCTGCTTGTGCTGCTGCTTACTGCTGCTGCTGCCTCGGCCTCCCGCTGCCTCCTGCTGCTGTTTACTGCTGCTGCTGCGACTGCCACTGCTCGTGATGCTGCTGCCGCTGCTGCTGCTTCGGCCTCCTGCTATTGCTGCTGCTGCTGCTGCTGCTGCCTCGGCCTCCTGCTACTGCTACTCCGCTGCTGCCTCGGCCCCTGCTGGTGCTACTGCTGCTGCTGCCTCGGCCTGCTGCTGGTGCTGCTGCTGCTGCTGCCTCGGCCTCCCGCTGCTTACTGCTGCTGCTGCTGCTTCGGCCTCCTGCTGCTGTTTACTGCTGCTGCTGCCGCCTCGGCCTCCCGCTATTGTTGCCTCGACCTGCTGCGCTGCTAGTGCTGCTGCTGCCTCGCGCTAGTCCGAGTCCTAGTAATAGTACTGGCACTAGTACTAGAAACCCGAAGGCCCAAGTTAGGCATACCCCCAAACTAAACCAAAAGCGGATACCAGTCGGACCGGCCTGCAAAGGATGCCTGGGTCAGTGGATGTCGCCGCTCCCGCCGCCGTGTTCGCCGGAGCCACAGAGGCATATACATGTGCACATGTATGTGAACATGTATACGCATGACATACTCATATACATATATACATATATACATATATACATATATATATATATATATACATATGTATACATATACACATATATACATATATATACATATATATATACATATATACATATATACATATATATATGTATACATATATACATATATACATATATACATACATATATATATATATTAATATAATATATATACATATTATATATATATACATATTACTATATACATATATATATATATATATATATATATTACATATAGACAATATAATACTAATATATAATATATATACATATATACATATATATACATATATACATATATATATATAGACCTATATATATATATATAACATATATACATATATATATATATATATATATATTATATATTATCATATATCATATATATATATATATATTACATATATATCGTATAAATATAACATATTAATATATACATATATACATCCATATAGATACATATATACATATATATACATTTATATATATCATATTATATATATATGCTCACACCCCCCCCCCCCCCAAGACCTACCGCGAGGTGCTTCGGCTAGCAATGGGTAGTAGAACATGTAAGGATTTGAGGAAACCATTAGGATAAAATACACTCATACATAAACAATGGAAACGTATATCGTGTATAATCAATAGCTGAATACACTGTAATGACCTACGACGGCGCGACATCGCCGTTGGCGGATTTGGGCAAGCTTCAATGCCTGCAATTGTTTAATAGGATACTGCCTACATGTTCCGGATATTCATAACTCTGGTCATATAATGACCATAGGCATAACCCGAAGACAGGACCAAGACAGAACAGTGTCTGCATCCTACGTAAGATCGTTAGATGCGCCGGGTAACTTTGTGTTTGTCATTGTCTGTTTTTAATTTTTTTTTGTACTCATAGGCATAACCCAAAGACGGGACCAAAACAGAACGATGTGTGCATCCTACCTAGGATCGTAATGAGGGTTACATGTGCACACATGTTTATTTTGTGTGAAGCTCTTAGGTTACTCATGCGCCAATGTGTATAATAGCTATTACTAGTGCGAATACTAACACTGATACTAACATTTCTATTCCTACGAATAAGGATATTACTGTTCATAACATAATAGGCTTAATGGTTAATACTAGTATTTAAAATTACACTACTAATTCGAATAGTAGTGCTGATGGGAATATTAACACTCCTGGGGACACTAATACGCATATTCTTATTAACTGTTCTCAATATGAATACTAATAGTACTAGTTGTTTGGAATACTAATACTTGTCCGAATATTCATACCAATACTCAGGCTACTGCGATTATACATAATAGGACATTAATATGGGTATTCGTATTAAGGTCAGCATTTCCTTCGAAAGTATTCATATGCGCATCATAATTCATCTTAATACTCGTACTGATATGAATTAGTATGATTACAAATACTTTTACGAAGACGGGTACTTTCAGTAATACCGATACTAATATGAATACTAGTGTTCCTACGAATATTAAAAAACATACCCATATTGATAGTAATTTTAGTAGTTATTTGTTACCAATATGCACGCAAATGCTAACATCAATACTAATATGCACATAAGTGATACAGTTCCTCCGCAAATTAATGCGCATAGTCTTATTAATTATTCTCAGTATTTATATTCACATTAAAAAAAAACCTACACTAACATGAATAGCAGTATTACCACTTGATACTCCAGCTAATACGATTATGCATAGTATGAACAGCGATACTGCTATTGATACCAATATTAATGCTCCTACGAATACTAATAATCACGTTCAAACCAAATACAAAAAACAGACACATCAATGTACCAAAGAATCTGTATTTTCACATACCAATAAATAATATACTCGTATACTACTATTCCAATGTTACCATAGACTTACAAATACAGAATATACTGATATGAGACTATACACTGGTTAATATTAACGCTAAGAATAAGGAAGAGACTAAGACCAAGACTAATACGAATACTAAAACTCACACTAGACATTAACACTACCATTAGTACTCCTATTGTATAGACTTATATTCAGACTAATACTAACGCTGACATTGGAATTGACATTGACACTGACACCAACACTAACAGTAACACTAATCAACACGCTTGAACGCAGATACTAATACTAACACTAATGCCTAATGCAAATCTGAAGACTACTGCGCGTAAACAACGAAACCATTTCCGATCAAGCATGCTGCGCGCTGTATTGGCTCTAAGGCTCCGAGAACCAAAAATCCAAAAAACCAAAAATCCAAAACCTTTGTCAGGGGGGTCGAAACTTTTGGATTTTTTGGTTTTCCTAGTGTTTTTTTGGATTTCCAACAGAAAACCAAAAAAGGCCAAGGTTTTTTTGGTTTTCCAGCAGAAATCCAAAAAAACACAGGTGTTTTTTGGTTTTTCAGGAGAGACACAGCAGAAAAACCAAAAAAACCTTGTGTTTTTTTGGTTTTCCACCGAAAATCCAAAAAAAGCTATGGTTTCGCCAAGGCAAAGCCCAAAAAACCAAAAAAGACCTAGCAAAACCAAAAAATCCAAAAGTTCCGGGCCCCTCAGAAAGGCTTTGGATTTTTGGTTTTTTGGTTTTTTGGTTTCCGCCGAAACACCACAAAACCAAAAATCCAAAAAACCAAAAATCTAAAACCTTTGTCAGTGGGTCGAAACTTTTGGATTTTTTGGTTTTCCTAGTGTTTTTTTGGATTTCCAACAGAAAACCAAAAAAGTCCAAGGTTTTTTTGGTTTTCCAGCAGAAATCCAAAAAAACACAGGTGTTTTTTGGTTTTTCACGAGAGACACAGTAGAAAAACCAAAAAAGCCTTGTGTTTTTTTGGTTTTCCACCGAAAATCCAAAAAAAGCCATGGTTTCGTTAAGGCAAAGCACAAAAACCAAAAAAGACCTAGGAAAACCAAAAAATCCAAAAGTTCCGGGCCCCTCAGAAAGGCTTTGGATTTTTGGATTTTTGGCTTTTTGGTTTCCGCCGTCGTATCGTATGGTTTCTTTTACTGTTTCTTGCTTATGAATACAGGCATATGAATTTGAAAGCGGACATGAGTAGGCACGACGTTGTAAAGAGACATGACTTCACATCAGCCATGATAGAGAAGGTATCATATTTACAATGGAAAAGAGGCCGAGGTAGGTCATGGGGGGGGGTGTGTCCATACATATATATATATATATATATACATATGTATACATATGTATACATATATACATATACACATATATACATATATACATATACACATATATGCATATATACACATATAAACATATACACATATACACATATACATATATACATATATACATATATACATATATACATATCTACATATCTACATATCTACATATCTACATATCGGCAAATCTACATATCTACACATCTACATATCTACATATCTACATATGTACATATATACATATATACATATATGCATATATACATATATACATATATACATATATATACATATATACATATAGACATATATGCATATATACACATATACATGTTTTTCACGCAGGAAGACTACTCAGTATTTCAACATTCATAGCCGAGCAATTGACAAGCATTGTTTCTGAACTGTCAGACATCAGCACGAGCACACAGCGACTAGGAAGAAGCCCTTGTTTTCCAGACTATGCGAAGCTGCGTGTCTGTGCTCACGACTCCGCATCCGCCTGCATTTCAAGTCAGATGGCATGCTTTGTCCTTTGGAATCGCAGGAAACCAAGGTTCAAGTTGGTGTCCTCTCGAACTTCGGAAACTCAGAAGCCTTTCGAGAGTGGCATTGAGAACTTATGTAAGCACTGCTCCGAAAGCTATCGTGTGGTGGCCTTCCTGTCAACTTCGAGGAACCGTACAAATGGCAAGTGTATGCTATAACAACACAGAATCCAACTGCCCAATACCTGTCCCCGCTTGCAATGCCATGTAAAACGTCAACATATTCGTTGTTAAGATGTGCACATGCGCATGGAGAAAGCCCGGCAACACAGTAAATAAATTCAAATGTCGCGCTATCATTGTGCAGCCCCCCGATACCGCGACTACGAAGAGCTCTCAAGTTCCCCCATCCGCCCTGCTCCTCCTGGCAATCAAAGCATATTGCTGCATCGTGGACAGGATTCAAGCTTCCAAGGCTAATTTGCTGCTCTTGCAACACCTACGTGAAGTCATGACATAATCTTCCTGCGGTTTAGGGTTTAGGGTCTACAGTCTAGGGTACAGCGGGCATATCGCAGCAGCACCACCAGGATCACTCGCTTCGCACCGAAGCCCAGAACCCACGCCCTTAGCATAACCGCTGTAAACAAACCGGCAGCTGCAGCTTCAGCCAGGAGATAATTCTTTCCTTCCCAACTGTCTCTTGTTGGAACCGTTCCACAGCCAGTCGCAAAAACTAACAAAAGAAAGAGCACTGCCACGAGAAGGATTGAAACCCCAGCTTCTCTAGTGTCGTGCTGACAACTTGGACATGAATATAGCACTGAATCGGCTCGCAGAAGCAGGAAAATCCCTAAGGACCGACGCTAGCTGTGATGAGCCGTCCCAGTTTACAATGACAATGAAATCTGTCATCCTGCCGCCGCCGCCGCGGGAACCAGGATGACAACCATTCTTCCTGAAGGGTGCATACCGGAGCTTAATACTCCAGCAAATGCCGGTGTCTTGATAAGATCTTCCTGGCTTCGGATACATATAACGGTGGAGCTGAGGTTGCGGGGTGTCCAACTTCGTGCGCCACTATCGAGTCTATGTTTGCTTTCAGGTTTTCATGAAGGTATACACATGCAGTGACAGCAAGTGCTTGGCGGCATGTGTTCGGGTTGTCGCGATGCGACAGACAGGGTACGGAAATCGTAAACAATAGTGATTGCGGGTTACCGCATGTGAACGACTGTCCTGTCACAATGCCTAGAAGGGTTGCGATAAGGGGACAAAGACTACAAGCTGGACTCAAGGTGTTCGATGTCCACGAACCCGTTCCTTCGATCAGTAGACACTTCCCTAATTTGATAGAAGGTTAACACCTAGATCCACTTATTGAACTGGTAACCCAAGCCCTCACTCTGAATCTTATTCTGGTGCCAAGTGAAGAACCAGATATGCAACGTCCGGTTTAGGGTTCAAGGTCTTCGGAAATTGTCGCGTGTTGTTTGTGCAAGTGAGCATTTCGCCAGCTGGAGTGCGAGTTTGGGCTCAAGCCGAGGTCTCAACAAAAGTGCGGTTTTCGGGTCTTGATTTGTGAAAACCATGGCAGGAGTGGCGGTTTCGTGATTCGTCTTGTTTTCCGTGTGCTTGAAAGGTTAGAAACACCGCACACAGCGAGGTTTTCGTGATGTCACTGCACAAAAACGTCGTCTTGCAGCTTATCGCGAAGTTTGCGTTAGAAAGACTCGTCGAAGACTCTCGGAACCGCAGATGTGAAGGAAAGCAAGTCATTTTTCCAAGTCATGGTGTGCCGTTCAGTTTGGATTTGAAGATATATTCGAATCCTTCTGAAAAAGTTAGCGAGTTCATATGGATTGCCAAAGATTTGTTACTAACTGTGCTAAATCTGCAGCGGACCAACTTCGTCGGATTTGCCTATCGCTGGCAAGTGCACCAGACCAACTTCGTCGGATCGTAGTGCATCCCAGTTTTGACTCGAAGATACATTCGCATCATTCTGCAAACCGTGGAGGGTTCGGGAATTAAACAGCACACCAACCTTATCCCGAAGGTGACGCTGGATTTTGTTGGTCGTAGCCAACTTACCGAATCCCAACGAAACCTCGCGGATGCGAGTGTTCTCGGCACGGACTGCTGCCATTCTGATGCGGCATGGATGCGTTTTAGTATCGAATCACGAAGGTGACGCTGGTTTCTGTTCTTGCACTACTGCAGCTGCATCTATGATCTCTTACAACAAAGTCACCAAACATACACCACAAGCTCGTCAAACACCATCTGGACGCAGTGAAATGGTAGAAAACCTATTCGATTCTGTATTTCCCTGGAAAACGTATTCAGCTCTGCATTTCATGGCCCATGGATCTTGCTTGGGGCTCTTTTGATCGCCCGTCTTGATGGGAAGTCCCATCCCGGGGCCAAGGGGCAAAACGCGGCCCTTAGGAAACGGAACGGCTTTTTCGAGGCAAAACCTCAGGCATTAGCTGCCAAAACGAGGCGCCTCTGCAGTTTAGGCCTCCAACAGAGCCGAGGGCCTATGAAAGGGTCTACCAGGGGCTGCCACGAACAAAGCAACGACTTAGGCAACTGGGAGTAGGCTGGGCTCCGAAATACTTAGCCGCAAGGTGACGCGGGTGATGCTGAAACGGTTGATGTTTGGAGGTATGCTAGGCCGGACTCCGAAATGCTTAACCGCAAGGTGACGCTTAAACGGTTGATGTTTGGATGTATGCTAGGCCGGGCTCCGAAATGCTTAACCGCAAGGTGGTCGCCGAAAGATCTGTATTTCCGCCACGCGCTGCGAGTTAAACCCCCCCCCTCGTATCGCAAAAAAATGCACGGGATCAACTTCTTCAGGTTTGAAAGGTTCATCCGAATGATTGGTTTGGTAATATTGCAAGATATGTTCGACTCGTTCTGATAAAATTGAGGAAGACAAACTGTTCCTTATCAATCTCTTTGCGAAATCTGCATCGGATCAACTTCGTCAGATTTGCCCATCGCAGTAGACTGCATCGGGTCGACTTCTTCAGACTTGAAAGGCTCACGCCACGTGAGTTGATTGGAATGTATACTCGAATGATATTGAAAGCAAAAAAAGGGTCCAGAATACACCACCCCTCTCTGTTCTTTGTCCAACCGACCTCCGTCTCATCAGGGAAGTAGTTGCGGAGCGTCTTCAGCACATCCTGGCAGATGTTGGTAGCGCGCGATCCAAATGTGTGGAAACAGGGAACCCCCACCCGAGAATCTTGCCAGCGAGGCGATGAGTTCCGGTTTTGTCACCCGGTGCCAAGGCGCTTTGAAGGCCCAACCCAGTTTGAGCTGCTTGCACCAGTGCAGCAGCCTGCGGAGGTGATTGGCCGCGAAACAAAAACCATCGCTAAGAACCACTCGGACACTACGACGAAACGGCGGCATCCTACGCGCTGGCTTTGTGCACCGCACCACAGCGGGAGATGCGGAACCACCCCACTAACGAAATCCTGAGGCACTCATGATAAAGAGACCGTGTTGCTGCTGTGCACCGCACCACAGCGGGAGCCGCGGAACCACCCGACTAACGAAATCCTGAAGCACTCATGATAAGGAGACCGTGTTGCTGCGACGCTGTTAAAAAAAACAACTGAGCCCGGAACTTCGTCCTGGGAATGCGGCGTAAAAACTTCTCATTCAACGCCTGCAGCAAGATTTTGCACGTGCTGGGCGTGTGTGCAAAGCAGTGTGTTTGCTGGCCTGCAAGTCTTCCACGTGCTGGCGGTCCGCTGTCCTTTTGGCTCTGGTGCGCCCCCGTGCCATCGCGAGCGGAGTGGGTGCAGGGATCAGGGGATTGAGCACTGAGGCTTCGGCGTTGAGCATGGGTGTGGCAGGCTCGACTGTCGCGAAACTCTTGTATACTAGCTCTTTTTTGCTCCTCAACACACCGACCAGGAGGGTAGCCGTTTCAAAAACCGTTGAAAAAAACTCCCGGTGCGAGTATTACTAATCATTCCCACCATACAGTTCGTAGGCAGGGTCTGGCCCTGCCGGCCTTGGAGCTTTGATGTCGCTCTCACGCATACCACTGCCTCATGGTATACGGCTTAGGGTTAAGGGTATGCGGCCCGGATTTTGGGGATTTCTTATTGCTCAAAAAACCGTATTCGAACTCTTAATGCCCGTACTTTACCCTAACAGTCTTTCTTCATGCAGCCGGCCAGGGCTTGGGGATTAGAGGGTTTCAAGGTGTTTCAGCATTTGGTTTTGACCATATGAGACAAGGCTGCATTTTTACTGCAGTGCAGCGACGACGATTCGGGCTCAGGGACTTAGCTTCCGACTCGCAGAAACCTACTCAAATCTTTACTCTTATTACGGTTATTATGTCACTATTCATCAGAAGCTGCCCCCACCCTGTAATGGTGGTATTATAGGAATATAATAGGCCCCTAATATAATCCTTCTAGTCACTATTAAATGGTGGGGGCCCCTTCTAAACTATCTATATTATTATTGTTCTTGCTCTCTTTTTTAAAGCGAAGCCCTGATCCCTTCTTGGGTTTAAGTACCCGTAAGCATGTACATCTTTGGTCCTTCTTGGTTTTAAGTGCCCATAAACATGTGGGTGGTTGTCAAAATTATGGTCCCTTTTTGGGTGGCTAATATAGTACGGCACTTAATACTTAGGGTACCCAAAAAGGGACCCTGATTTTCACAACCACCCCTGTAAAATGTTACCCAACTATTACTATGACCAAGTGTCGAGGAGTGCGAAGGCACCGGCAATGCCGTAGTAAAAGGACGACATCCTTCGGGGAGAGTCTACGGTTGAGTAGGGTAACAGTGGTTTAGGTTTTGGGGCTTAGGATTTAGGGTTTAGGGTACTAGTGGCTTAGGGTTTGGGGTTTTGGGGTTGAGGGTCTAGGGGTTATGTGTTTAGGGCTTTTGGGCCTTTGGGGTTTAGGGTTTAGGGTAACAGTCTATAGTACGGCTGCCATCAACGGGCCTAATATGTCTCTATACTAAGTTCTAGACTACGACTCATTTCTCAACTGTTACTGAGATCCTTCCTCCACTTAAACCCTTCTCATGCAACTTTATATTCAGACCAATACTTGGAGGTTCATAGGTACTTGTAAGTAGGGTCATAAGTAGGGTTCCTTGAAAGGGATCTATACGGCTATATGGTTTAGGGATGGGGGTTTAGGGTTTAGGGTAGAAGGGTTATTAGTAAGGTAACTATACTTATAACTCCCCCTGAGCCTCCAAGTACATTCAGACCAATAACACACTTGCATATGTTACATACAGCGACAGACATACATACAGGCATACGTACAGAATACAAACGGGAGTTGCCGAAAATGAGCGTGCCTTATTTTGGTGTCTTTATGATAAGGATCCTACTAGCTGGGGTACAAAATTAGGGCACCTGATTTTCGGAAACTCACATACGGGGTTGTCAATATTAGGGTCCCCTTTTGGGTCCTTATGATAATACGGCACCGAAAAATTAGGGTACCCAAAAGGGATCCTAATTTTGACAACCACCCAGCTTAAGGTCAGACCAAGACTCATCTGCATAAACTCGGCAGGCTCTAGCGTCTGGCTGTCGTTCTCGTTGAAGATGCCCAGCCTTTGCTCTGGCACAGGCTTTGGGTTTAGGGTTTCGGGGATTAGGGTTTAGGGTTTAGGGGTTTAGGGCTTAGGGTTTCGGTGATTAGGGTTTAGGGTTTAGGGGTTTAGGGCTTAGGATTTAGGGTTTAGGGGCTTAGGGTTTAGGGTTCCGGTGATTTGGGTTTAGGGTTTAGGGGTTTAGGGTTTAGGGTTTTCTGGGAGATGCTACAAATCACTTCAGCTTGGTCCAGGCAGGAGAAATCGGATCTTTTGCCTCTCGGAGATCGTCGTTGACAGAAAGATGCCGGACGAAAGGAAGGCAGGAACTGAGATGTTCACCTTCTTCAAGTCCATAGCCGACCTCACCGCAGGCTTACTTGAAGGATCATGGGACTTAGTAACTAAGGTTATGATTAGGGTAACTGTACTTATAGCTACTTATAACCCCAATTAAAGTACTTAGAACCTGACTTACTAAGTCCCATGATCCTCCAAGTAAGGGCTTAGAGTGAAGGGTTTGAGACGCTTCGACATTGATACGACTTGCTCATGAGCCTAAACCCCAAAACAACTAAACCCCAAAACCCCCAAATCCCCAAAAATTCCCTAAACCCCCAAACCCCTGACCCCTAAACCCCTAAGGCCCTAAAGCCTCGGCGAGTCTCCCTCTCTGCTTAGGCCTACGGGCTTCCCATCCGAACGGGCCTGACTGTTGCTAAGGAACTTAATTTAGGTTACCATAAGGTTTATAGGGTTCCTTTAAGGGATCTATAAGGGTTCCTTTAAGCTTTCTATAAGGGTTTTGGGGTTAATTTAAGTTACCATACCAGGGAACTATGGTTTCCTTATTATGGTAACTTCAAGTCAATCCCTTAACAAGAACTTAGGAACCGGCCTGGTGCACTCATGCTGGGCATAGGCAGCGGGATCGAAGAGCTTCACCCATGCGAGGGTCTTCCTTGCGACTGAGCCAGGCTACTTGTGGGAGTTAGGGTTACGGGGACCCTTGGGGATGTAGACCCTCTTAATAAAGCCCCTTTTAAGAGAGCCAGAAGTACCTAACTTGACTGTCACCGCGCCAGCACGTCCGCACTGCATTCTGGATCGCACCGGCCATAAGGTATGTGGAATCCAAGACTTCAGCGTTACTGCTGGCTTTGTTGTCGAAGGCTTCATTTTTTAAAGCTGCTCGACTGGAGAGTTCCAATACTAGAATTTACCGTGGGCTTCTTGAGTGTCCAGTATTTGGGGGGACCTAAAGGCGCGCCTTCAGGAAAATACAGGGATTATGCCACACCGCCAAGATTAAAGGTTAGCCACTCGACCTAGCATCACCCGCAACTACCCCGCCAGTATATCCAAAATACCAATTATTCAGGGCCATAAGCACTCTATCAAGGCGCCCTTGGGGAGTGTCCTTAAGGAACAACCTTCAACCCTAAACCCCCTAAACCCATGTAGATCCTTGAAAGGAACCCCTACAGATCCTTTACAGGAAGTCCTAGAAGCAGCGTAGGGTTTAGGCGTCAGGGTGTTGGGTTAAGAACAGGCGCTGCGCATCATCAATGCTCTCCTCGACCTTCGCCTGCCTTGGTGAGTATCTTTAAGTGCTTTGAGTTTAGCGGTTTTTTAGGGGTTCATTTCAGGGTACCTACAAGGCAATGGTCTCTTTAAAGGTTCCTCTAAGGGTTCTAATGGGTTGCGGGTTTAGGGTGTGAGGCTACATGTAAACAGAAAGCGTGTAGTTCGACAGGTTCATTCGAGTTTATTGGAAGATATATTCGACAGACTGCAGAGTAGGAAATCAACTGCGCACGGTCATTCCCTACAACACAAGCCAGCAACAGAGAGTGGAAACTGCCAAGCGAGAAGGGAACCCTTCAACTGGAGCGGAGGATCTCAGTAAACCTGAAACCCATACGACGCTCCAGGCGGATCCCCAACTCCCCTGACAGCACCACACTCGTTCTGGAACGCAACAGATACAGAGAGTAATGCTACAAAGAAAGGAACAGTCACACTGCACATAAACATCCTAATTCTGGAACACAACACATACCGATAATAAGACTACGAAGAAGAGATTAGTCATACACTATATCGACAAGGATGGACTTCCGCTTTTCGGAGGAGAAGAGTTCGTCAAACCCTAAAGGCGCCCAACCCTATACTACAAAAACGCCCTTGGAAACTGAGCTCAGTTTTCTTCTTAAGAGCGCCCCAACAAGCGTTGACCACGATCAAGAGGATAATGGGACTTAGTAAGTAGCGTTATAAGTAAAGTAAGTATAGTTGTAGCTACTTATAACCCTACTTAAAGTTCTTATAACCCTACTTACTAAGTCCCATGATCCTCTAACTACTAAATACTTATGGCTCAGGCCCTCCTTTCTTTTGCGGATTTTCGATGGGATCTTCATCTCAGGGAGCAAGGATAACAGGATGTGGGAGTGCCTCTGAGAAGTATGATACAAAGAGACTTCATTTCACTAAGGGTCTGTTGCCTGGGTGTTGGGCCCTCTGGGTAATCTCTGACTACTTCCTTGCAAAACCCTGAATGAACCCTAACTCCTGCACCCAAAACCCCAAAACCGGAGCCCAAAGCCCTAAGCTCCCGGATTTGAGCCAGCCCTGACCAGGGCTTATGGGTTTAGGAGCTTCAAGGGGTTAGGGTTTAAGGGTTTAAGGGTTTAGGGGTTTCTGGTTGAGAGTGTACGGTTTAGGGCTTGGGGGTTTAAGCGTTGAGGGGTTTAGGGTTTCCTTCGCCTGCAGCACCATTCTGAAATGTTGTGTTGAAAGTCTTGGCATGTAATACAGGGGCCTCAATAATTACCTATACTGCTTTGGGAGTTTTCTTATCATAACTATAGTATTACGGGCTGAAAACCCTATTGCAATTATTAAGGCTCTTATAGTCAATTTCGGGGTCAATTTGCTTGGTGAATTTAGTGTTTAACGCACCCCAACCCCGAGACCCTAAACCTTCAACACGCTGAACCCAATACCCTAATCCCAGATAGCCTGTAACCCCATAGAAAATCACCAAAACGAAGCGTCAAGCGCTAAACGCCTCGAAGCTGACCTCGAAACCCTGAACCCGAAATGGACCCTTCAGCCCCTTGGCAGCATACCTTACAGCAGGTCTCCTTTTCAAAAGTAACCTGGAAAGAGTCCTTAAAGAAACTTCTGAAAAGAGAGCCCTTCAAAGTGGTCCAGGAGCAGCTCCAGGGGGCGCGCAAGAAGCTTCCCGAAAAAGTTGGAGGTCCGCCCCCTGTTGAGTTTACGGGCTTACAGGGTTTAGCGGTTTAGGCGTTTGGAGTTGAGGGTTTGGTGGTTCTGGGTTTGCGGCTTCGGGATTCGACGCTGGCACTCGCACAAGGCAGGCAAGGAGGCTTTCAGAGTGGGATTCAGCGCGGTTGGTTAAGGATCTTGAGCTTCGGGCTTGGGGATCGTTGATTGAGGGACAAAAGGGCGATGGTTGCACTTGGTCACCAACTCGACGTGCTTTTCGATCCAGTCCTATTGTTCCTTGCAGAGAACCACGAGTATTGTGCACGCCCGAATGGCTAAATATCTATATGCATCATTAAGTGTATATACATATAAATAAATATATATATATATATATATATATATATATATATATATATATTATATATATATATATGTCCTACTTTTAATTTCTGTCTTCATTTGTTTATTCAGTTTGCTCTTTACAATATTATGCAGAAAAACGTGACAACCCTCACATCCAGCGACTTGGGTGCCTGTGTCGAAGGTCCATCCTTTGTCTGTAAACTCGCGCGCGCAGCCGGCAGCGACGTAATGCCTTCGGTGTGGAGCATCAGAGCTCCGGGGACGAAGAGTTTCTGCATCAGGAAAGCTTGAAACCCCTTGCCTTGAAACCCCAACCCTGAGCAAGACACGGGGCCTGAAGCCCTAAAATCCTGAAACTGCTTGAACCCCAGCTTTGAGTCGTGAAGTTCGGGGCTCAAGCTGGGTCGAGGATTGAAGGTTTAAGAAAATCAACATGATTGAAAGATCAAGGCAGCATGCCGGTTAGGGATCGTTCATCGCGCGGCATGAGGCTTCCACAAGAACTTCGGATAATAACATAAAACACAACTGCACAGATGACAATCAACCCAGTTAACCAAAAGAAGGCAAGAACCAGGCCAGGAGAACCGTTTCTGAATCGCGAAGATCTAGGACGCCAGAGCACTGATCACCTCGATCGTCAGCAGAGCGCCCGCTGTCAGACATGCCGCCGCAGCTGCCCGGCCCAGATCACACTGCGGGCATGGCGGTGCCAGCTCAGCCGGCGGAAGACTGTGCTACTATTGCAGTCTGTGCGTCTTGATTGACGTAAGAAAAATGAAGAAGGTTTCGGGAACTGTCTTGTGGATCACAGTAGTAAACACCTGCATTGGGATGACGATTTGCCTGCATTGTCTGCGAACAACAGCCCTGATTGATTGTAGTATTCCGAAGCACCTCGGCGTGAACGTCGTTCCACCATGTGCGCTTCGGCGACATACAACGTTCTACTCCGGGCTTTCACAGCTTGCGATTCGAAGTGGGTGGTAACAACGTCGACTGTTCTCCCTGTCAACTTGGCCATATAGAAAGGTGATGCTGAAGCGTCGCAGCGCTTGCTGCAAGGGGCTTAGAGATGTTCAGTTTTGAACGTCAAGGTGGAGGTTGGAGCGGAAGTTCGGCCTTTGTCAGGGACCCTATAGCCGGACGGCCCCATGCCTAGATGTTCTGCAACCAGTCGATGCACAAGGATCATAATATATTCATGGTGTGCCAGTATGAGTCCGGGTTGGCGGTGAAACGTCGCAGTCGTTCACGTGTTCTGTAGGCATATTTGTTCATATTCACATAGACATTCAGCTTACGTATACATGTATGCGTATGTATATGCATGTCTATGTAGCTGAATGTCTATATATATTTATATATACATATATAAATGCAACATAAATACTATATACTTATGCACACACACTTTACACATACACTTCTGTTCTACAAGCCTGCGCCCCGAAGCTTGTTTGCTCGTTTCCTTCCGTGCTTCCTTTCTTGCTTCCTTTCTTGCTTGCTTACTTCTTTGCGTGCTTGCTCTCTTCCTTCCTTGCTTCCTTTCTTGCTTGCTTACTTCTTTGCTTGTTTGCTCGCTCCTTACTTGCTTCCTTTCTTGTTTGCTTACTTCTTTGCTTGCTTGCTTGCTTCCTTCCTTCCTCGCTTCCTTTCTTGCTTGCTTGCTTCTTTGCTTGCTTGCTTGCTTGCTTGCTTGCTTACTTCCATCCACCATTGCTTCCTGTCTTGCGTGCTTACTTACTTGCGTGCTTGCTTCCTTGCCTGCGTGCCTGCCTGCCTTGCTTGCTTGCTAGCTAGCTTGCTTGCTTGCTGGTTTGCTTGCTTGCTTGCTTGCTGGCCTTCTTGCTTGCTTGCTGGCTTGCTGCCTTGATTGCGTGCTTGCTTGCTTGCTGGTTTGCTTGCTTGCTTGCTTGCTTGCTTGCTGGCTTGCTGCCTTGCTTGCTTGCTTGCTTGCTTGCTTGCTTGCTTGCTGGCTTGCTGCCTTGCTTGCTTGCTTGCTTGCTTGCTGGTTTGCTTGCTTGCTTGCTTGCTTGCTTGCTTGCTTGCTTGCTTGCTTGCTTGCTGGTTTGCTTGCTTGCTTGCTTGCTTGCTTGCTTGCATGCCGCGAGCCAAACGGAAAAAAAATAAGAAAAAAAACGGAAAAAAATAAGCAAAAAATACCACCACCCCTAAACCCTAACCCCAAACCCTAAACCCCAAACCCTAAACCCTAAACCCCAGACCCTAAACCCTAAAGCCCTAAACTGCGTCCCAGGAACATTGGAAGCCAGACAAGCCAAGAGAGCAGCCACGGGACCAAAGCTACTCCCAAGAGGGCCTCGAAAAGCTTCGGGATGAATGTACCGAGAGGCTCGGACCCTACCCCTCTGCTAGGATACCTAGTTTGATGGTCAGGATCTCTTATCTTAAAAAGTAGGCGCCCTGAAAAAGGGTAGGGTATGAGTTAGGTACGGCCCCCACTCAGTAATAGTTGAATATTACTCATAATATAGATATAGTAGGACCTTAATAGTAGCCCTATTATAGACTCTTACTGTATGGGGGCCGTACCTAAGGTATGAGCCTCTAGGTAGGGGCCTTAATAATTGGACTAGGGTCCCTCTTGGGTTATGACGACGAGTTAATCAAGGGGCCTTAATACTTAGAATAGGGTTCCTTTAAAGGGTTCTTATACAGGGGTCTATATGGATTACCTAAAAGGGCTGAGTGCAGGGCCTTAATAATTACAAAACGGTTCTGGGGGATATACTATACTATAGTTATAACATGGAACCCCCCAAAACCCTATTCTCATGATTAAGGCCCCTACATTAAGGAGCTGTTGGGATAAATCAGGGCTATGGGGGATATCAGGGCATGGGGGTGAAATGATCAGAGGTTTAGGGTTTGAGGTTCGGGAATCCCGGGACTAGGGAAGCTTCAGATTCGTGTTCAGTCCACTTCCACAGACTCTAGCCTTTAGCCTTTACGAAGATTGCCATCGTCCGCTGGCTTGGATTGCTTGCTTGGGGTTTGCAGGGAACCCTTTGGTGTGTCTGCAGCTCGTCATAAGCACTTGCTGTGCAAAGCGTACCTGCAGAGTCCACAGCACACCTGCCAGTACAGACCCTCCCGAGGATTCTTTGCATGAAGTTTCAGCAGGATTTGTCGCAGGCAGGTTTCGTTGCTACATGAAGCGGCAAAGGACTTCAAGCGCTTTGGTGGTGGGCTCTACGACACAACAGGCCGATTCCTCCGGTTCAGCGAACTTCAACGGTTTGATAGGATGTTAAGTGTAAAGGGCTTTAGGATTTGCAAGGAGGGCGGCAGCATGATGTTCGTAGCGCTGGCGAGTTGTGACGGAAATTGGGACGCTCCGTTCCTAGACCCTCCACCCTCCGGGTGCCCTGAGGTAGAACTGAAACCCCCGAAACCTAAACCCTATGTCGCACTACGTCATAGGAACCCTACACCCCCGCAAAACCCTGAAGTAGAACCTTGCACACACGGTTCTAAACTCTACACCCCTAGACCTAAAATTCTGATCCTGCAATCCTAAGCCCTCATCCCTGAAGTAGAACTTCCTTGCAGACCACGGCACTGCGCGCAAAGCCGCAGCCGTTTGCTCCCCATGGGCTTTGGCCGATGTGAGGCGGCAGCCGAATCCCTCGAAGCTTTGGTAAAAGGGGCTTAGGGTTCCTGAGTTTTAGGGTTTAGGGTTTAGGGGTTAGGGTTTAGGGTTTAGGGTTTAGGGGTTTAGGGTTTAGGGTTTAAGGTTTAGGGTTCAGTGGGGTCCGTGTAACAAGGGATCTACAATGATTCTATAGGTGTGAGGATTGTGAGATTGACCCTGAATCCCAAAATCGAAACACTGGATCCTAACCGTTCGTTCGGCATCCCTACGCGGCCCTACACCAAAATCGCAGGCCTCTGATAGCAGGCCGACCAGTGGCGCACCGAGGGTGGAAGTGATAATCCCTTCGAGGCAAATCCTCATCCAAATGAGTTTCCACGTCAGGGTTGCTGTATTTGGGAGTTTCCGGAAATCAGCGGTACTCTATTTTGGGGTCCTTATCATAAGGATCCTACTGTCTAGGGTACATGATCAGGGTCCCCTATTTTCGGGAACTCCCATTTGCCTGGGTGCAGGGTTGAGGGTCCACCCTAAACCCTAAACCGTCCAGAGCTTGCGGTTCAGAGTTGGGTTGGGGCAGAAGCGGGTTGATTGCATTGGTAGTGACACAATGACACGTTACTTTCGTAGGGTTTATAGGGGTCCTTTAAGGGATCTGTAAGGGCTCTATAAGGGTTCTATAAGGGGAGGTTCATGAGTAGTCACAAGTAGGGTTAGAAGTAGGATATCTATAGTGATGAGCTATGTTCAGGGACTTATAAAGCTACCCATGAACCTCCAAGTATGATGCTGTCAGAGACTCTTCATGCCCCATGTTGACATGTCACAGTTCTGGGCAAGGAGCGAACTAAACCCTAAACCCTAAACCCTAGACTATGATCTCCTGGAGTGCTGAAGACCCTGGTTATCGTCTTCGCGCAGGTGGTGGTCGTCAATACAATGGCTGTGTGGCTGGCTGTCAAAATTATGGTCCCTTTTTTGGGTCCTTACTTTAACACGGCACCTAATATTTGGGGTTCCCAGTAAGGAATTTTGACAACCACCCGTGTAGTCGTAGAAGTGGCAGAAGTAGGAAGTAGCAGTAAAAAGCAGAAGCAGTAGCAGTGGCAGTGGCAGCGGCCGATGGCAGTGAAAGCCGCAGTGACGGAAGCGGGATCAGCCACAGCAGCACGAGCAGGAGCTGCGGGAGCAGGAGCAGGAGCAGGTGCTGGTGGTAGTAGTAGTAGTAGTAGCAGCACTAGCAATAGCAGTAGCAGAAGTCGTCGTCGTAGTAATAGTAGCAGTGGTACTCATAGAGCTGTTAGCTGAGCCCGAATGTTTACAGAAGCATCTTCCTCTTCCACGTATGAGGGCGAGTACTATCCAGCTTGGAGCATTCAGGCAGGCCCATATGGGAGTTTCCGAAAATTATGGGTAAATTTGGGAGTTCTTATAATAAGGATCCTACTAAATTTATAGGGTACTGTATTAGGGTCCCTATTTTCGGAAACCCACATATGCACTCCCAACATTACCACGACCAAGACGAGTGCGTCCACGACGACAATCACAAATGTCGCGGTGACCACGTCCTCCTATCCGCCTTGGCCTCCTCTTCCTCCTCCTGCTCGCTCTGCACTGCTGCGGCAACTGCGACTACTAACACCCGCCATTACTGCTGCTGCCGCTGCTCCCACTCCTCCTCGTACCGCGACGACGGCGACGACGACTACTACAACTGCGACGACGACTACCACTACCAGTGCTAAGTTCTGTCAAGCACTTTGGCTTTGACTTCAAGAATCAAACCTGGAACTCTGGAGCCTCTCGACCTTGCACTGTGGTTGCACGTTCACATCCCAACCATGACGCGCTGCACTTGGCATAGTCTACTAAAAATTAATATTACCAAAAAATTATGTTTCAATATAATTTCATAATTAATATTACCACTAATCCGAAAGAAACGGAGTGGGCTACCCTTCAACCCGATTTCTGGATCTGTGTAAGATACCCATGGCTGATGCTCAGCATACGTGAGCTAAACAGTGGGTACGAAGAAAACGGTTACGGCGTTACGGGGTCGAAGTCGACCGCTGCGTTTTGCATATTTTAGGAATATGCTGAAAATTGTGTGTGTGCGTGTGCATGTGCGCGGTATCAATCTTATTATCTATAGTTTAACTATATCAGCTCTGTCATGAACATTAACATCTAGATAACTTCTGTATTGCTTGTCACACTGTGCAACCATTAAGTTGATGTTAAGCTACATAACCAACATATAACTAGATCAGTTAGGACTACATCATCTATCTTATTAATAGTTCTACTAATCTTAACAGGTGCGATGCTTCATTAATTAAGGTTATTAACAGATATGCACTTAATACAATAGCATTTGGTTCACATTTGGAGGTGATGCTATGTTCTATCAATGTTTGATTTAGTTCTTTGGGAATCCAGAAGTCTACCCTTCCGGCATTCGATAATCAATAGTTTAACAATAACTGGCTTATTGCATGTTGAGTGTCTTTGGTTAACTTGCCTATAATCGGATAACCTGAGCTATGAGGCTATGAGTTGTCTTTGTCTATCAGGATAAATTAGTTTGGGCACATCATATGTTTACAACTAGTATGCAAGGTTAATACATTGGTTATATTATCATTACCAACTTGTTCGTTACGATCATGTAGTTGGTATTCTACATCCCTGGACAAGTAATGCATGTCTACTGATACTATTTCACAACTAATGTTAACTGTTATAGTATGTCTTTCATATAGTCTGTTTACAATAGGTGGTTCAACCGGTATTATACTTGGTAATTAGTGCTGCTATTGATATAGATTTTCATGACTCTTATTATGTTGTTGCACTTTTCATTATGTCTTACCATTAAGTACAATCAATGCTACCCCATTAGGACTATTATATGTATTGTGTGTAGAGGTTAATACAAATCAAGTTGTCTAAGTTTTTCATGTGTGTTCTAGTGATGTTATGTGAAGGCTTACATCATCACATCTCAGTGGTTGCTAATGTTTAAGCCTAGTAGAGTACAAGACTAAGGAGATTACTTAATATAGTGGTTGGAATGATACTAGTTCAGTTGGTGAGAGGTTGCACGTTAGTTTCATTTTGTATCACTACAGTCCTTTCCAACCAAGATAGTTTAATAAGTATTGGGAGGCCACCGGAAGCTTGTCGTGAATCGCGACTGCTGTGCAGATATGAGTCACCGGAAAATAGAACTAGGTTATACTAGGCTTGAGTACGGAACACCGCGAATCACAAACTGTATACGGCATGAGTGAGACCAGTGATGCATGAGCGATATATGTGATGCAGCACACGACTGACACGCATCGGCTTCTGTTGGAACGCGCAGCGATTCATTGAACTGTCTGTCACGTAGCCAATGTGTCTCAAAGCGTCAGAACCTAAAAAACCAAAACCTCCAAAACCAAAAAAAAAAAAAAAACAAAAAAAACAAAAAAACATTCTTGCAGAACTCTACCATTTGTGTATATTTCTACTGTTATTCTGGAAGAGCACTGAAATAATGTGTTTTTGATTTTTATTGAATTTTCTGATTTTGTTTTTTTGGTTTTGTTTTTTTTGGTTTCGTTTTTTTGGATTGGGTTTTATAGGTTTGTTAAAGGAAACGGGCTGGTGTTTCTTAGGGCTTGAATTACGACAACGCCCCTAAGCGCCAGAGTTGATAGTGATGTCGTGGAGGAGGCGGACCTGAACTGCGCAAAACGCAGTGGTCGAGTTCGGCCCCCGAACCGAAGAAAAACACAGTTAAAGGGATCTACAAGGGTTCTATAAAGGGTTTAGGGTTTAGAGTTTCCGAAAATTAGGGGTCCCTTGTTTTTTGGGGCCCTTATAATAAGGATCCTACTATTTAGGGTGCTATACTAGGGCCCCCTATTTTCGGACACTCCCAAATCGAATCGAATCCACAAACGGAGCAACCCTGACATGCTTGGGTCGCCGCCATGTTGCCATCATCTGTGCGCGATCTTGGCCTGCATGTGAAAACTAGGATACCCAGTAACCTAAGAATAAAAAGGCCTCTCTTTTTGGTATTGGGTAACTTTATAAGGAACCTAGGACTACAAAAAGGGAATAAGGGTACTACTGGGCATCCTAGAAAGGGTCTCCCTATCACCCGAAGGCCCTTCCGCAAAGCCTTGATCATGCACTTCGTGGCTCCGCCATTGCTAGAGTAGCAAGAAAGTGGTGCCCTAAACCCTAAACCCTGTGAACCTCAAAAAGCAAGAGCAAGCGAAAGCCCTCAAGAAGCCCCTGAAGCCAGTTATTGGTGGTCTCGGCGATTTGATTTCGTACCCGCTGTCGAATACCAAGCTAGTTACATAGGGCTAGCAAGCTCGACTTAGACTTAGAGATTATTACAGGAGCCTCAATATTGGGGGTAAGGTTTTGGGTACCTTCTAGTATAGTTCTTCTCACGAAGCCTTGGGAATAGCCAAGAAATGATACCTGGTAATTATCCAAGCTGCTAGACCGGCTTTGTGGTATCGGGTCGCTCATGGTCGCTCCCACGCTTGATGCTCATGAGATAGTGGCCTTAATAATTAGAATAGGGCTTTAGTGTATATTATACTGCAAGGCACACCACAATAGTATAGGTTATTATATATGTAGGCCCCCATAGCAAGGCGACAAGCAACCTGAAGAATTTATGTTATGGGTTATTCCGACATCCCTGAACCCTAAACCCCCTAACCCTAAAACCCTGCGATCCCTAAACCCTAAACCCCTAAACCCTAAAACCCTGCACGTTTGAAAGGCCCTCTCCATGTTCAGCCCGGGCAGCTGTCACGAACGATGTCCCCACAGATCGGCCGCAAAGCAGCCACTGGAGTCCTCACTTGGAGGTTCACGGGTAGTTATAAGTGGGGTTGTAAGTCCCTGGGTTATAAGTCCCCTAACATGGGTTATAACCATAGTTGTCCTACTTATAACCCTATTTATACCTACCCATGAACCTCCAAGCAGTCGTGTGCTAAGTCCCGCTTGATAGACCCGAGCTTTCTGGGTTCTTTAGGGTTTAGGGGCTAGGGTTTTTTAGGGTTTATAGGGATGAGGATTTTCGGGATTAGGGTTTTAGGGTCTAGGGTATGGCTTCATTCGGGAAATCGAAACTCAGCAGACTCACTCGGTGTACAGTTCCCCTCGGGATGCTCCGGCAAGCAAGACGACTTGGAGCCTTCATCAGGGGTTTAAAATTTAAGGTTAACAACGATGCAAGATTCAAGGACTATGTGCTTGGATTTGCCCTTTTGTTTGAGGGCCTACGTGCTGTCATTCTGTGTTGATACCAGGGTATGCACAAACACATACGTACAAATGTCACAGATGTGTATGTAATTCTGTCCGTATGTCTGTCTGGGTAGCTGGCTGGCTGGCTGGCACTCTCGCCAGATTCTTTACACAACCTTCTACAATCATGTACAAGTATAGGTACATGTTTCTGTACTGATGCATGAAACATGCGTACGCACGTCCCTCAGATGCACACCCATAGTCAAAGCCTTTTGCAATAACGTCTTGCCATCCCCCCCTTCGCCCTCGTCTGACCATCTACACAGTCGAGGGTATGAGGCCTCAAGCCCCAACTCAACCGTCAGAGTTTTGTGCTGCTTCTTTGGGGTTTGTGGCAAAACCTCCAAACCTTCAAAGACTCTCGCTCTTGCATTCTAACTGCTGAGCTTAACACCAACAGGCAACGACATTGAAGAGGAAGAGGAGAGACACCACTGCCCAAAATCTGGGCGAGCATTTCATGACCTGACTTTTTGAAGCCCGCTTTCGTTGCTTGGGTTGCTTGGACGTTAAGCTTGGGCTGTAGGAATCATGATGTAGTTAGAGGCTGAGGGCTCAGATGCGTAAGTACTGCCTAGTGTCCACCATTGTGTGCATTCCACTACTGACTCTGACCGTTGGATCCTTCGAAAGTCACAATCGAATCTGCCCGAACTGATACACTGGCCTCGCACGGCAGGGCTCTGCTCCCGTCTCAACCCGCTCCTCCCACCCCAAAATCAAACAAACACACCAAGGTCGGTCGGACCCTCATGCGCTGAGCATATGGCGAGCAGCAAAGACCAAACCTAGACAGACTAGTAACCCCAAACCCAACAAGTTCTCAAGGCTATGTATCTTTTACTATAGAGGACCCTCTACTACGAGTTGATGAATCGTCCTCAATTCTGGCCTAATGTTCTCAACCTGCTAATGTTGAGCCAAGGGAGCTGCAACGAAGACGGTCGCTCCAAGAAACCTAGGCAGATGGATTCTGTGGCGAGGACGTCCGGCGACTCAATGATTCGTACTGACGTTACTAGCAGCGGAGAATAGGCTATGCACAAAAACACGGTCATCACGGAGAGCTACCTAATAGTTAATCAGAGTACATACGTGGGAAGCCGACGCCTTCAGAGGCATGCCTCTGCTCGCATCTTTATATGGGAATTTACGAAAGTAGGGGGTACCTTATTTTGGGGTCCTTATACTAAGGATCCTACCATTGGGGGTTCCATAATAGGGTCCCCTATCTTCGGAAACTCCCCCATCAATGCCAAAGCCGAGGGGAGTCGATAGTTTGGAGGTTTACGGTATCCAAGAAGGCAGGTAATAGGGGCCTCGTTATCATTAGAGTACCTGATATTGAGGCCATCATATTAGGCTCTCGCAGACTCAGCCAGGACTGGAAGCGGGGCTAGACCCTTATAAGAGCTCACGAGGACTTGTTATAAGAAAGGATTTCGATTATCGACCTTTATAGCTACCACATACTTATAGCGCTCATTGCGACGTCCCGTGATCCAATGCTGGCAGTCTTGCCTGGAGGTTCGAGGCTCCCATCTCATACTAACACAAGAAAGTGCTGAATCCTGCGTTCCTGACCCCCAAGCTCAAGGCATCTTATTCAGCCATAGGGTTTAGGGTGTAGGGTTTATCTATGGGGTGCAAGGCTGAGAAGGCAAACGATTTCAGAAATTGAGGTGTTGGGTGCAGTCTGGCTCCCTCCCCCCTTCCCCGCCTATGCTTGTCCCAGCAAGCCCTGAAGCCGTCCCTGTACCTCTTTAGGAGTCCTCATGGGGTCGATGGAATGAGTTTAGGGTTTAGGGTTCAGGGTTCCCAGGGTTTAGGGGTTTAGGGGTTTAGGAGTTCGGCACATGGGCCCTCAGGGCTATGGATGCCTGGTGCACCAAGGAACAGAGACAGCTGCGCCACGCCACACCGCCCTGCATAGGGCCAGCGCCGGTGTGCCCAATCACCTCGCTGAACACTTTTGGGCGATATCGAAACGGTATGGAATGACTTGTTATGAAGGCCAGGATTTGCATTACTTGTACAACAACAACAGCACTGTTACGTGAAATGCAAGTTTCCTAACGAGAACCAAAAAGAAGCCCCTCTGCTCGAACCCCCAAATCAAGGGCTCAGGGTTCAGGGGCTCAATACCTAGAACTTCAAGCGTTCAGGGTTGCCTAACCCTAGCTTGCGCACCACAACCCTGCAGCAATGCTTGAGCTCTCGTCCCCCGAGGGTCCCAAGTCGGAGACGCCAAACTCTGTAGAAGCCCGGTTTCTGGGTTATACGGGCAATGAACAGGGATTAAAACTGATGAGAAGTCATCGACGAGTGACAGTAAAACGCAGCCTTCGATGGCACACCTTTTGTCACAATGCACCCCAGCGGGGGCCCTAAACCCTACCTTAACCCCAAATAACCTACCTTTTTAACGTCCTGTTATATAAGGAAACCATAAAAGGGAACCCCAAAAAGGAAGGTCTCATCGGGTCCTAAACCCTAAACCCATAGACCCTAAACCTCTTTCCGAAGCTTCGGACCCTGACCTTAGAGGCGGTTGCTTAAGTTGAGGGTCTCGTTCAGGATCCTTGTTGGAAGTAAGAAGCGAAGATGACATGAACAACATCCATAACTACTAATATCTTTAGTATTACTGTTATTAATATTACTACTATTATTAATACTATTACTATTACTATATATATATATATGACTCATTTTTCATCAGCGATTATCCAGGGCCCATACTGGATCGAAGCTCCCGACGAGGTTGCTTCGTCTCAAGAGTTCTCCGGCCAAGCCGCGATCTCGCGCAAATGGAGAGATACGGCTGATGATATAAATCCTGCATTACCCATAATGGGGAATATAATATACCATAATAATTCCCATAGTCTAGGGTCCTTAAGGTAATGCAGGGTTTATATCATCAACAGTATCAGACACGTTAGATTTGTGACAGCCGGTCCAGGGTGAACAACAGAAGAAGTAACGCCAAACGTCGCAAGAGTCGTACCGGCGCAAACAATGAGGTTCGCGATAATACCAAGACGCCTTCGTAAGACCACAGCCATTACACACATAGGCAATCACTAAGCTGGAACTTGCCACAGGCTGTAATTTCGTCTTCGCCAGACTTCTGCGCGGTTTACATATGAAGCATTTGAGTAATGGACACGGCATGCGATGACAGTTCTTGCCCTTACCAGTGACATTAAATGTCTTGCCTGAGAAATTGCAGTCACGGTGCCCAGCCATCCTCCAACGACGCCTCCAATGACACCACCAAGTCCTCTAGATCAGAGGCTTCGAGATGGCTTCCTACTTGTCGGGTATCATGGGGAACTGAAGGTTAACCTTTTTGGTTACATAGGGATTATATAGGGACTATACTACCCAAAAAGGTTATACAAAGGTTACCTACTCGACTACTAGGGCTTAAAGCTGTCGGAGGATTGAAGCCTAAACGGAGAATGTTCCCGATCTTCTGTCCGCTGAGCTCAGCATTGCGCTTATTGCTGCGTGAATTCTTATGCTGGAAACCCTCAACACTTAACCTTCTGACCTCCTAAGCCCCAAATCTTAAACCAAGTTATGTTTTGTTGGGTTTCAGGGTTTGCGGTTTAGTTATGTCTAATTTCTGTTTGAGCTGTCCTCCGATTGACACAATCTCGCCTGCCGACAGGTCCGGGAATCCGGAGAGCTGAAAGTAGAGCGGCAGAAATGCAAAGGCATTCCAGGGAATGCCAGCCGTCACACCTCTCGCTTCGACGCGGCTTTGGCGGGTAAAGTAGTGCAAGGGGTCCAAATCGGGGGTTGTAAGCATTGCAGTGCTTATGTCTTGAGGGGCAAAGCTGCTAATGTGTCAAGCTGAAGCTGTTGCTTGCAAGGGCAAGAGCCTTAGGGGCTGAGTACCCTAGCCCAGAAAAGGCTAACCTTTTGAATGATAGTATATAGGAGTACATAATCATAAGCCCCAAAAGGTTAACCTTTTGAATTATGGTAGGAATATATCAGCCCCAAAGGTTGAAGTTTATCTACTCAGCCCCTCAGGAACTTAAGGAGTATACCCTATAGACTAAAAGAGGATCCCTAATATGATTTAAGGAATATTTCTTAATTCAGGGATATTGGAGTCTCTGGGAGCTGTCCAACGAGCGCGAGAACAACGGACTTGGGATCCAGTCTCCAAGATAGAATACACGCTGCTGCACTTCACCAATAGGGTTTAGGGCTTAGGGCTTAGCGTTTGGGGTTTAGGAGTTTAGGGTTTAGGGGTTTAGGGTTTAGCGGTTTAGGGTTTATGGGTTTGTGGTTTAGAGTTTAGGGTTATGAGCCTTGAACCCCAAACCCTAATTCCCCCTAAACCCCGACCCCTAAACCAGCGGCAGTACCCCAGAAATTCCAGACCGTAACTCCCCGTGGCTCTGGGAAAACCCAGAAAAATGCCTGGAGAAGGCAGTGGTAGCGGAGCTACACTCGGGTATTTAGGGTTTAGGGTTTAAGGTTTAGGGGTTCAGGGGTTTAGGGTTTAGGGGGGGGGGGGGTATCTTGCGGAAAATAACCCGCACTTGGTGTTTGGGGAAAAACCTAATCTAGGGCTCCAGTCACCTAAATAATAGGTTTCTAACCATATGGGTGGTTGTCAAAATTATGGTCCCTTTTTGGGTACCCTAAATACAAGGTGCCGTATTGTAATAAGGACCCAAAATGGGACCATAATTTTGACAACCACCCATATATTTCTGTACCCCAGTAACCTACTGCTTAGGCAGCTGGAGCCCTGGGCCTAGTTTTCAGTCGATTACGCAAACACACTGAGCACAGGACGCTGAACGCTTCGGTGGAGGGCCAGGGTTTCTGTTCGCACTTAAAGGATCATGGGACTTAGTGAGTATGGTCATAGGTACCTTCATTGGGGTTATAAGTACTTATAAGTGCAGTTACCCTAGTAATGACCCCAGTTACTAAGTCCCATGATTGTCCAAGTAGGGCTGAGAGGAGGACCTTTACCCAGGAGCTAGTAGGGTTTGAGGGTTTGGGGTTTAGGGGGTTTAGGGTTTAGCGTTTAAGGGCTTAGCGTTTAGGTTTACGGGTCTAGGGTTGGCTGAGTCCCTTCAAAAGAAGAAGGCGAACCTTTCAATGATTTGAAAGCGACGAACCGACATGTAGGACCGTAACACCTTGACCCTAGTCCCTACAGTGGTACAACCCTGAGCACTGAACGACAAACCCTGAAATTAGCGCTCTCCATACAAGTTTTGAGACCAGAACACTCCTCACGACCTCTCTGGTTAAGGGTACCGGACATGGTCAGCCTTGACCCAGCAGGAGGAGGAAAGACGGCTTCTTGCAGACAAGGTTGGTGATTCGTGCCTGCAGCAGAACAGTGCAAGATAAAACCGTCAAAACGCCATCGCTACTTAAGCACCTAAACCCCTAAATCCCAAACCGGGCGCAGCTTAACCTACTTTTTTTGTAGGCTCTTGTTCTCTTTCCTAATCTGGATTTTATAGGGACCCTACAACAAAGTAGGTTTTGGTAGGTTAAGGTGAAGCCTAAACCTTGAACCGTTGCAAGTTACACTTCAACGCTCCGAGGTCATGCTGCCAAGCTACTCGCATGTCGCCCAAGGTCGCCCTCCTCCACTGCGGGTATCCCAGAGACTCCCAAACCCCCGTAATTCAGGCATATACCTTGAACCATATTTGGCATCCTATCATAGTTTAAGGTAGATTCCCGAATTACAGGGTTTTGGAGTCCCTAGGATGTTCTCGAGGTCCAGCCTCTAGAAAGAATCCAGGGCTCAGGGAGAGCTAGCGACAGTAGTGATTTGCGACTAGGTGCAGGATTGATTGGTCTAAGGTCCCTACTCACGCTTGCGACAATTCGAGTTGGCCGCCGGGGAATTAAAAGGCGGTAGTATTAAACACGTTGACAAACCGGCAGCTGCACCCTAAACCCTACCCCAGGGCTCCATAGTAGTTTTTTTTGGGGGTTCATATATAGAATCCTATAAGGTAATCCCCAAAAGGAGCTACTATGGAGCCTATGGGTATACATGATAGCCCAGACAAGCCATGGGATTTGTGGACGCCGCTACACCGCTACGCCCTCTGAGAAACCTGTACTGGCAGAGAGGGTCTGGGCTGGAGTTGCCCGTGATGCTTGGCTAGAGCCTGTCAATCTTGCCGTGTAATATGGGCCGCTGTGCTTAGAGGGTTATAGGGTTCAGGGTTTTTAGGGGTTAGGGTTGACAGGGTTTAGGGCTCAGGGGATACAAGGCACCCATGGCAACCCCTTACTCAACTTTACCCTAAGCCCTAAACGCTGCCAATCTGTCGCAAGGTATACCCCCATGACCCCCCCCACCCATTCAAGCCACATTGTATAGCGACATGTTCAGGAGGCCTTGAAGTCGCCTAAACTCTGATACCCCGAGTCCTGAACTCTTGAACGGGTTTTTTTGCAGCTATTTATGAAGTCTGGCCCAAAAACTACGGCAAGCCCACAAACCGGGTCCCAACGCCATGGCATAAACGTTCGTAGAGCACCTCCCCGGCGATGGAGCAACCAAGGAAACCGGCACCACCCATCCTTTTCAAGGACTGAGATTGTCGCCGTTTTGTTGCTGTAATGTTGTCGCTATTGATGTTGTTGTTCATGACGTAATAGGGGGTTGGTTTCAGACAGGTTTGGGGATTTGGGTTCAAGCATTAGTTTGTTAGGGCTTCAGGGCTTACACGCAGGGTGTGCATGTTGCACTTTGTCTGGAGATTCCGGAAAAGGACAGCAACAAGAAGGAACGGAGCAGAAGAACAACCAGAAGAACAGATCCGGACACGCGCTTACACAGCATTCTAACACTATGTCATTGATATGGCTGTTACTTTCACAACAACTTCTGCGTTTGCTTTCACTTGTTAGGCTGCTACGATCAAGAGCCGCCCTAAACCCTAAACTCCTTAAAAAACCCTAAACCCTAAACCCCTAAAAGAACCCTAAACCCTTAAACCCTAAACCCTATACACCCGCAGCCCATACTCGAAACCCCGACCAACAAGGCCCGGGGAGCTGGGATTGCTTGACCCAAAGGGTCCATGTACTCTTATAGTATATACATTGGCCTTAATGTAGTCCCTAAAAGGGTACTTTGGGGCCCATGTATCTCTATATGGGTACATGGACCCTTAGGGTGATTGGGCCCGAGGACACGCAGCATCTAATATAAGGGCCTGAATAATTTGAATAGGGCTTAGAATGAGATAATGAGGACCCCCCAAATAGTATAGGGTCATTTACAACTGTTTAAGCCCCTATACTAAACCCCCATAATGCCCCTTGCAGTAATCAGTAATCCTTGTAGACCCTTTGAAAGGAACCACCAAAGTAGTATAGGCAATTGCTATAGCACCCCCCTTAGTTTCATATTCTCTTGGGTTTTAAATGAACAAAAAATAATTCCAAAGGAGACCATAGATTATTTAGGCCCCTATATGGGAGTTTCTGAAAATAGGGTACCCTAATATGGTACCCTAAATAGTAGGATCCTTATTATAAGGACCCCAAATAAGGTACCCCTAATTTTCGGAAACTCCCATATACTATCTCCGAACAACCAGGCCTCAAGGTCGGATCGACGTATCGCTCCCGATTTCTAACGTCATCTCACGGCCAGAAAGCTTCTATCCATGGACCGTCTCTTGGGGTTTCGGCTTTAGGGGTTTAGGCACTTAGGTTTTAGGGGTTTAGGCACTTAGGTTTTAGGGGCTTAGGCACTTAGGTTTGAGGGGCTTAGGCACTTAGGTTTGAGGGGTTTGGGCACTTAGGGTTTAGGGTTCTGAGTCGCCAGGGGGACCGGCCGAATGAAATCGGCTGTGATTTGTCAGAACGGTGGTGGAACCGCTTCGGATCCCACTTGTGCATTGGCGGTGACTCTCAGACTGGGAACACCCTACAATACCCGAAGCCACAAGGGCCCAAGAGCTCCGAACCGTCTGATGTAGGGGGGGTTGATCATTAGAATACTGTGCCAGTGCTTTAAAGGTTCGGGCTCCTTCATCGTATAGTTAAAATAAGAAACCTAAAGGAATACGATTGCTAATGATCTAAGTTTCTACAGTAACCCTGAACCGTTTAGGGCTTACCCAGAGGCTCAGACAAGTTCCTTTTTGGGGCTCATATTTAGAATATAAGGTAATCCCACAAAGGAACTACTATGGAGGCTGTGGGTAAGCTGGGCCATGAAAGCAAAGCTGCGGATCGCGGCAGCCATGCCCCAGGACAGCGCAGCAACCAGGACGTTGATGACCCCTTGGAGTGGAAGATCAACTATCTATAGGGCCTAGGGTTTAGAGCAGACTCAACGATTTATAGGGACTTGGACCATTACAATGGGGTTTGGTGGGTACGTTCTGTACCACAACCATGACAAGGGAAAGCAAACTAACGGCCTGGATAACGCGGAAAAGAAAGCTAACGGCTTGGGTTCGTGCAACCTCCGTGGATTGCACTGAAAACCCTGACTACAACCTACAGCCGGTCCCCTGACCACCAAGCCCAGCCACGCCAGCCCGACACTCCGCAGATGTTCTTTCGGGCCCAGCAAGTTGTTGCAAATGTCACCGCCGCACTCCTTTGCCGTTGCAGGGGGCGCGTGGGCTCAGGGGAAAATCCATGAAGTCTTTGCACCACATCGCAGGCGATTCGCCGAGTAGGGCCATGGGCTCATGTCGGCTTTAGCATTTCAGAACTTGCAGGGGGCTTGGAGTTGCGGAGTTCATCGGGAAACAGGGCCAAACAGCCCTGGAGCACGAGTCTTCCTGGCATGGGAACTGCGCTCTCCCATGTGGAGTATCTTCTTGCCTTTAGGCTTTGAGGCTTACCCTCTGGATCAAAACAGCCCAAAAGCCTTATAGAGTATGGTCTTTGGGCCCAAAAGCCCTGAGATATGAGGCCTTGGAGCCCTAGGGTTAGATCGTTTGCTCTAAGTCCTTCGGCGCCTCTGGATTGAAGCCTACGCCCTTATGCATCCTCAACACGATCACGCGGACAAAAAAACTGTCGCCTCAAGTTGGCCCTCAGTTCGTGGATCGCCAATGGGGCTTGAGGCTCGCCCACCAATGGAGGATCGGCCATCGAGTCAGGCTTTAGGGGGTTGAGGGTTTCGGATTCAGGGTACTCAAGACTAGGATGCCCAGCAACCTAGGCATAAACAGGGCTCCCTTCTTGGTATTGGGTACCTTTATAAGGAACCTAGGACCACAAAAAAAGAAATGAGGGTACTACTGGGCATCCTAGAAGACCTCCACAGCCCTCAACCACCAAACCACCAACCTGCAGCAGAAGCTCATCAAAGTACTGGCTGACTGAAGCCAGCCAAAAGCCCTCCCACGTCCAGACTCTGGATAAAGCTCACAAATCATCGCTTGGCCGATCGGGGTCACGACCTCTCAGCAACCAAAATAAGTCGAAAGTCTATAACCTGACCCAAGATACATAAAACTTCGATTCCTGGACCTAGACCGTGACATACAAACCAGATTCATATCTGCTAGCCTTGACAAGTTCCGTTGAAGACTGCTTCAGTGACCCTATGCTTCCAGGGACCTATCCTCAAGGGGTCTAAGAGTCTAGGGCCTGAACTATACAGCCTTGGCAGCATAGGGTCATAATATTCAGACAGGCTGATACAACATGTCGGCGAGACAACATGTGGCATGCAGTGTTTGTTTGCGGCATTGTCGTGGCACAGACATGTAAGGATCTCGTCACAAATCAGGACGAAAATCTGCCACGATAGCAAGTTTCTTCGCACTCCAGACCGCGGCCCTGTGTTTTGCCAGCTCAAACGGCTGACGTCAACGCACCACTGAGATCGTTTTGGGGTCTGCTCCATAAGTAGTATATCTCCGGCTCAGCTGTTTCTCCTGACTCTAGGACTGCACCCTCGCAAAAGCTTCGAATCAATTTCTCCAGAGACCCAACAGTGCGCCTCTCCTGGGAGTTCACAAGGCGTAAGTATATACTATAAGTTTGGGGCTCCAAATAGCCCAAAGTAGGTATTATCTATAGACTTTAGGCCCCAAAGTAGCTACTATTCGTATACGTATAGGAGCCCCAGGGTACAGGTACATGGAGCCTTCGGGTGACCCTGGTAGCACTTAAATGCAACGCAGGAGCCGCGAGGGAGACGCCAACCACCAGTCTGAGCATGAGGTGAACCCACAGATTCGAACCTCATCGTCGCGGGTTTAGGGTTTAGGGGTTTAGGGGTGTAGGGTTGCCGGTTCTTCGGGGTTTTGGGGTTGGGAGTTTGCCTTGGCTGTCCTGTCTTCAGCCAACCGGCAACATTCGCCAGGCAGAAAGACAGCTAGACTGCATTGCACGCTAGGGTACCGTTCTGATCCGGCCAACAACCCCCCTCTCACGAATCTGAACGGCCAGGTACTGTAGGGGCCTTCGAAGTCAGAAGAGGGTTTTGGGGTATATAGGGTTTGGAGGTCATACTGTACATTACTTATAATCAGAACCACAAGGAAGAGTACTAGCAGTGCCAGGAATTATGCCGCGGATCTTTAGGCCAAACGCACTAAGCCCTAAACCGAAAGCCCTGCACTCAAGGCCCTCAAGTCCTAAATATTTTCGGCGACCAGAGCACTCATGGCCAGTAGGAAGGTAGCCGCGCCCCACATCATGCAGCCTGGGCTTCGGCAGCAAGCTCTGACTATAAACCCAGGCCCTAAACCTTAAACTCAAAATTATTCAAAAGACCTCGATAAAAAAGTGCAGGTCACTGTCATGAACCCTAAACACAAAACCGGGCGTAGGGAGGGCACCAGGCTACCTTTGCTGGCTCGGTGGGGCAAGCAGTCCGGGCGCATTCGACTAGGTGGCACTGTTGGCAAGGATCCCTCTGCCCAGTTGGGGTGTACCTGCAGATTTAAAGGATAGTTCTACGTGGGTTTATAAGTCCCCGAATATAGATTATGACTATAGCTACCCTATTCATAAACCCTATTATTACTTATACCTACCCATAAGCCTCCAGGTACGGGTGGACCTTCTGTGAGCGGGGCTGGCCACGACCCGAAGTTGAGTCTGTTTTGTTTGCGTGCGCCAGAGCCAGCAAGATTCTGGGGTCAGGAAAAAACGTGAAGCCCTAAGGGTCCATCTGCCCATATAGCAAATACTTTGGGCCCAATGTACCTATATAGGAAGTACTTTCAGGCCAGTGTATGTACTGTACGAGTACATGGACCGTTAGGGAAGGATGACTTGAGCAAGTTCTCAACGGCTAGGCAACCTTCCTGAATGCAGAACTGTACCATATGACTCTTGGGAATTGGACCCTGCCGCCAGCCGCACTAACCCACAACACCAAGCCAAGCTAAAGCATCGGAATCAACACTCAGGGTTCAGCCCGGCAGAGCAGCAAACGTGTGGAACTCGTGGGTGTGCATTGTGTGCAACTCGATTCGCTTGAATCAAGCCTCCAACCCACTTCCATAAACGCTAAACCTCGTAAGGCCCTAAACTGTATAGAATCCAGAAGGCCACATGCCAGAAGGTTCCTTCCGCACGTAAGCTGCAGTAGCCAGCCCCAGACAGGCAAAGCGAGGGAGCAAGCGATGCTCCTCAACCGGCCCAGAAAACTCAGGGAACAATCCGGGCTGCTAGGTGAGGACGTTCAACTTGTGTTGGTGATGCCAGCGACGATGATGATGGTGATGACGATGATGGTGGTGATGATGACGGTAAAGATCAAATGAAGAGTGTGATGGTGGTGCTGGTGATGCAGAGGACAACGACTGTACTTCCCTGGATGACTTCGTTTGCAATGATGATAGCGTGGTGATGTGCAAAACAGTCCCTGTCGCTCATGTACCACTGCTCGTCCCAGTGCCATGCGGCACAAATCTCTAGAATGCAAGCTCTTGGATCAGCATGCTGCTCTTGCTGCTCTTCTCTGACCCAGAGATGGAAAAGGAGGGGCTTGGCTTGAGGCAACAGCTATATGACAGTTACGCAAATAACAGGAAGCCTTGGCCCTGTCATGTGTCCTTCAAGTTTCAACATTGGCTTTCAAGCTAGCTCAGAAGCTAGCTCTTGGCACCAACTGCAAGCTCTGCCGATAGCTCAAAACATGATGTGATTCCGCGACTGCGGCAGTCACAATACCTGGACATGCGTGGTTTTGCGAACGCCCCCTCAACTCGCACGGAAACTGACTCCTACAGCAACAACATCGCAAAGATTCTGCACATCGATTCTGAACGTTTAGTTTAGGGTTTAGGGTTTAGGGGTTTAGGGGTTTAGGGTTAACTCAAGTTGAAAGCAGAAACTCGAGGCCGCCCAGTGGCTGAGAGAAGTTTAGCAGCCCAAGCTCTGCTGTGCCCACCTAGAATGGTCCAGGATTTAGGGATTAGGATTTAAGGTCAAGGGCGTGGGGTTTTCAGTGTAGACCGAGTCTTGAAGTGAGAGCACGGCTTCAATAGTCTAACATCCCGTTGCTTGGCTACCGGCTACTGTTGGTTACTGTTGATTGCGCACGACCGTAGAGTTGTCGGAAACCAGCGGCTTCTAGCAAAAGATCGGAAAGCGAGATGTGGAGATGCTCCTAGCCTGAAACTGGGATGCCCAGTAAGCTAGGAATAAAAAGGGCTCCCTTTTTCGTATTGGCTACGTTTCTAAGGAACCTAGGACCACAAAAAGGGACTAAGCGTACTACTGGGCATCCTAGGAAATGTTGCACCCCCAACATGTGGACGATGACTATAGCCCGACTCAGGGATCGACGAGCTTCCACATGCAAAGCACCGACACAAACAGTAGCGTGGCTTAGGGTTTAGGGTTTAGGCTTTAGGGTGGTGGTGATGATGGTGGTGGTGGTGGTGGAGGTCATCGTACAACATGGTGGCGGCGACGGTGTGGAGGACGATGGTGATCATGAATCATGAAGATCTTGACGACGATGCCGCTCATTGACAGCTGATGATGATGCCGACGGTGATGGTGGTGATGCAGCAAAACACGACGGCGAATAAGATGAACAAGTATCTGACCGCGATGATGTGATATCTTCCCATGGCAACAGTGAGGATGCTGATCTAATCCTACAGCCACGGCCCAACATGTTCACCTGACCACACCTCAAGCCGGAAGCTCGACCCCTCCCCCAAAGACGGGAAAGCCGTATGCTGTGGGTTGAACCCCTCAAACCCTAAACTCTACACCATGAACCCACAAGAATAAGCTACCATCGCGAGCCTGCAGCTGCTCGGAAAGAGCAGCAAAGGATGCAGGAAGCCTGGTTGGATGCAACTAACTCACTACACTGAAAGGTTTAGGGTTTAGGGTTTAGGGTTTAGGGTTTAAAGCCTTAAACTGTCGGCGGCTCGGTGGCACCCCCTGAAGGCATGCAGATACCAGAGCGTCAACAACGACGACTGCAATCGTATGGGCCCTGTTACCAAAACACTACACCTATAGTCTCCATTGTAGTTCCTTTGTTTGGTTAGCCAAAATCTCCTTTCTAGGATGCTAACCATAAACCCGGTTAACCAAAAAAAGGAACTACAATGGAGACTATAAAAATAGGGCTCCTTTACAGGGCTCTTTAATGGTCACTATAAAGGGTCTATAGTATAAGGTACAGGTAATAGAGACCATGTAGGCAGTCCTGGAGATGACTGGTATGATATGCTTTGAGCACTCGACCCCGTGGCACCCCATGTCATGTGGCGACAGACTTTGCCAAACTAAACTTAAAGGACACTTTCAACAGCATTGTGGGAGAAATTAAACTTTAAGTATACTATATAAGGAGCCCTGGGAAACACTGTAAGTAATCATTGAGGCCCCATGGAAAACAAGCCCGCTGCACCCATCTATGTAACACTGACCCGGTCTCGCCTGCGGAACGCTAACCCTGAGGGTACATTACCCAGATAGTATGTAGTATACGCATTGGTTTTGGACCTGACCGCTGTTTGCAGGCGGCTCCGCCAAAGAGAGCAACTCAAACCCCAAACGGGCCTGAACTTCAAACCCGTCACGTGTGCAATTACTGTTGGTAGCTTTACGCCAAACAGGCGATGACCGTGAACAAAAAGAGGTACAATTTATCGTATCAAGAACCTCCTCAACATTCCGAGCGATGGCTTAGGCAAGGCAGAGCCTAGGGGATGGCCTAGGCAGAGCCTAGCGACCCCGAAACCCTAAACCCCTAAACCCGAACCCCCCTCAACCCTACACCCCCCCAAACCCTAAACCCTGAACCCCAAAACATGCCGAGCAGCAAAGCGCCATCCATGGCCGCCAAGGCGCAGGCCTGAGACAGAGGCTGCTGTTTTGGCTTACGCCCAGGGTGGGGGCTCCTTTATAGGTTACTACAGCGAACCCCAGAAAGTTGGAACATGGATTTAGGACGATTAGTGCTAGGATCCCTGATACTTTACCTTAAGGGTACCAGGATAATGATGCTCCAACCTTCTGGCTTCTACTTTATAAAAGGCTGCTACAAGGATACCACAAGGAGTTTGGATGTGTTGATGCTTTTTGGGTGTGGTGATGTGGGGTTTAGGTTTCGGTTTCGGGTGTTCCAGCAAGCCAAGCCGGTAGGTACTCACATCCTCGAGGCGTACCACAATGGGGCCTGGCATTAATGTCCCAAAGGCTCCATGTACCTTTATAGTAGATACTTAAGCCTGAAAGGAGTCCCTATACAGGTACTTTAAGGCCTAAGTATATACTATCAGGGTACATGGAGCCTTAGGGTGTTTGAGCTCGGGACATGCACTTACCTTTGGTTAGTAGGGAATGGAAGAATTGTAGTAATAGTAGTTATAATTGCACCCGATTCCTCCACTCCCTACTAACCAAAGGTAGGTGCAGAATCCCAGCGCAACTATCGACTAACCTTCAAACCTCCGGCACCAATCCCATAAGCCTAAACCCTAAACCCTAAACCCCTAAACCCTAAACCGTATCAGCTGTGCTAGCAGCGGACGGGAAGTTACACGTGGGTTTCGAGACCCTAACATCGGTTCCAATTATTGTTGCCCTACTTAATTACAACCGTACATATAACTACCTATGAACCTACTGCCTGCTCGAAGTGCCTCTGCAAGGCCTCCACACTAAACCCTTATAGTAGCACTTATAGTAGCCCTTACAGCCTTATAGACCCTCTAGAAGAACCCTTTAAAGGAGCCCTATTGTAATTATTCTGGTTAGCTTTCGGCCCGAGGAAGCTGCAGCGCTGAGGCTTGATATGCATGGCTCGTCGCTTGTGAACAGTCTCGGGTTTAGGGGTTAACTTGGAGGTTCATGGCTAGTCATACTGTTGATGATATAAATCCTGCATCACCTTCAGGACCCAAGACTATGGGAATTATGGTATATTCCTTGTTATGGGTAATGCCGCGGATTTATGTCATCAACCGTATGTTCAACTATTTTGAAGACTTCGGGTTCGAGGTCCCTAAACCCTAACCCCTAGGGTTTGAGGGGTAGGGTAGTAAGTAGGAAAACCATGCTTGCTACCCGTGAACCCCCAAGTCGGGCTTCAGACCCCCTGCTGCGAACTGGAGTGGTTTGGAGGCTGAGCTGGGTAGTTGTCAAAAATCTTGGTCCCTTTTTGGGGTACCCTAAATATTAGGTGCCGTATTATAATAAGGACCCAAAAGGGACCATAGTTTTGACAACCGCCCAGCTGAGTTCATGCCAGCAGGGAGGAAGTCCAGTCAGCAGCCTTGACTTGGTAACCCACACTCTGCTGGTAATTCCAACTCTGGGGGACCCACCAGTAGACTTTGGTCCTGCGATGTCCTGTAATTTAATCAAAATGTCATCTTCGACCCCAGGCGCAGCGCAATGTAGTCTAGATTGCACCTGACCCTCAACCCTTGTGATCATACTGCACAAGCGGATGCTCATCACGGAGACATTGAGTTGCGGACATTCATCACGACCTCGGCACGATGCGAGGGCTGCTCTATTGAACAGACATGCTTTCGAGTGTCCAAACCCAAGGCTTCACTTGAAACCATTTCGAAGGTTTGCACACCTCATGTCTTGTTTTGGATCCAGCTTTTTATCAAGCGCCCCCCCCCCCCCATGCAACGAAAAGGTCGAGCTTCGAGTCGCGAGAACATGTGGGACGGAGGCCGCGAACAACCTCACACCTAAAGACCAAGAGCAGCCGAGTTCTCACGACAAACTGCCCCTGGCCAAGAGCACGGGAGGCTAGTCTCTGCCTGTGCTTGATGCTGTGGAAGACTTGGCAAGTGGGGTTGGAATTGTAAGTAGGGGTCAGAGATGTCGGAAGAGAGAGAGGGAGAGAGAGAGAGAGAGAGAGAGAGAGAGAGAGAGAGAAAGAGAACGATAAAGATACGGATAAACATAAAGATAAAAAGAGGGAGAGCGAGAGAGGGACAGAGAGAGAGAGAGAGAGACAGAGAGATAGAACACAAAAAGAGGAGACAGAGGCGATGTACAGACAGATGAAGATTCACATGTCGTCGTCAACTTCTTGCATCACAGATATCACCGGATGACTTTCCCCGATCCGTCATCATAAGTTTGCGTCTTGTATCAAGGCTGATATATAGGCTGCTTGTGCTGTGCCCGCAGGTGCTTCCTGGCAGGGTCTGAGAGGCTTGGCGATGGATAGGGGGTCAAGGGCTTGAAACCAGGTCCCTCCGGGCAGTTTACAAAATAAGTCAATCCTGTGATGGCAGTCGGGCGACGTACTTCGCCAGTGTCCCGGACGCCGGAGCCATATTCACAGCTGCTAGTGGGTTGGGCTTCGGCGTCGTGGGGTCCTAAGGCGTAGTCCTAAGATCTCTCAATGCTTTAACTCTTGGAACTCGAAGTCCCAGAACCTAGAATGTAAACCGGACACTGAACTATTCTGTCATCTTTATCCCCAGCCCAACTTGCGACACTGCCCACCGCTAAGACTTAATATCCTTTCCACACCGCATGACACAGGAACTGTGTCAACTCATGGTGCGTCGACTCTGGGAGTTCATGGATGTTGCTGGGGCTTGTCTGCGGTACAGAAGCCCTCAAACTCCTAAACACCGAAGTCATACGCTCTAAAGCACTAGCCCTCGGCTCCAGTCCAAGTCCAAGCCAAGTCTTCATGCCCAAACCCCCTCCGATGCGAGACGGAGGTCTGCTAATCCGAAATGGCTTCGATACGGTTGATGATCTAACTCCTGCATGACTTTAAGGACCCTAAACTATAGGAATTATGGTATATTCCTTATGATGGGTAATGCAAGATTTATATCATGAACAGTAACATTGGGTTCAGGGGTTCAGGAACTCCCCTACGCCCTTATATAACCCTAAACCGTTTGGCAACATTAGGGGGGAATGTAGATGCCTGAGTCAAACACCAACATTGTTTGTTAGGGCTGATTCCTGCTAGTGCTTGTAATACCCACTCTGATCATGAAGGCCCCTAAATTACGCCCTGTAGGGTTTAGTGATATTCAGGGGGCTTCGCGGCGAAAAGGCCTCAAGCATTTAAGATATATAGTCTCAGGAACTTACTAGGTGTCGATTTCAGCAGGTCTCTTATATTAAACATTAAGGGAAATGAACAACTATCCCAAATCGAAATCTAAATCCTAATTTTGTAAACATAAACCCGAATTAACAGAACCCCAAGATCAGGGCTGACCACAACCCATAGCTCTGCAGCCTACCCAGCGCCCTGCAAAGCTGTGCAAGCCCCTGCCCCAAGCCTTACAGGATCAGATGTTGGTTTCGGGTTGCACTTGTTTGGTTTAGAGTTTAGGGTTGGTGCTACGTTAGGTAAGAAGTTCTAACGAAAATCGCTGTGTAGATGCCACGATCTATCGACCCTCAATTCTGATCAACCAGGGGAGTGCCTGGAATTGAAGCTCGTACTTCCAAAGAACAGCACTATATTGAGAATACGAAACATAAATCAAAGTTAGTGTGGCTGCCAGATACCTTAAGCTTCCAAACTCAACCCCAAGCTCAAAGCATAAACCCATAGCCCTAAACACTACCTAAATATTCTAGGCGTTGCAACTTTGGGGCCCTAGCCCGCGCTGGAGTCAGGTCAACATGGACGGGACGCCAAAGTCGCAACTTACTGAAATCCGATCCCTTTCATGCAGAGACCTCCGCGCGTGCCAGTTTTCCACTGTAGGTGGCCGATGCCGGGTGTACGGTGAAACGGATGGTCATCATGCTTGTGCACGTGATCCATCAGCGCTCATAGTCAGGGTTTGGGAAGCTTCAGCGACTTTTCCGCCCAAGGCTTCAATGCAAGCGGTTGCCAGCAACAGGCGCACTTACGGGCGATTCTTCCTCGTGGGCCCTGAGGCTCAGGTCATATGTCGGACCGAAAGAGTCTGCCCACTGTGGTCTGTGGCCTTGTCATGCCCAACAGCGCAGCTCGTGAAAGCGATGCAACTCTGACACTTGGGGGGGCGCACAGCGTGTGGCTGGCTGGGCACATGGCTTCGACGTCGCCAAAGCTTGTCTCGATCACCCGCATATCAGCGGCAAAGCCGGCAAGCCTGCCGACAGCAATCCTGCGGCTGAAGAGGCGAAGGCAGCAGGACCCTCGCCTAGTGACTACTCTTATGGCCTGCATGGAAACAGTGCGCAGAAGCTTAGTGCCATCTTTAGCTGCGACGGGTCACGTTCCACCCCCCTTCCCACAAGGGATTTCCGGAGCATCTCCGGCAAACAGAGCGTTGTGTGAGAAGGCACGACAAGTATCCAGCTGGAGGCAACAAGAAGACGAGCCGGGCATGATTCAATTCATGCTCTGATGCAGAGGAGCAACTATGTGCTCTATTGAGCGGTGCATCGGTGCTCTGTCACGCAGCCTTACTTGTGGCCCGTCTTTGAAGAGACCACGAGCCGTCAACCCTCATTGAAGGGCCACTGCAGAGCAGAAAGAAACTGCCCTGCCTGCCAAAGCAGAGGATAACTGAGGATCGGGTTGGACAGTCAAGTGGCCCAGAGCAGGGGTCAGGGGTCAGCAGAAAGATACTATAGGAACCAAAGAAGAGAGGCTCAGTCTTTTGCGGAATGTATGAGATTTGGTCCTCGTCAAGGCAGCTGCAGCTTGACAGGCTACTTTTGCTGTAGCCCTGGAAGAGGGACCAACCCGCCAGCGGCTTGAAGTTGTCTGCTGAGATCCTTTGAGGCCATAGCGACACCATCGGCCCGCAAGACCAGGACGAAAAGCGCACTGCCTGGGATTTTGGTGTCGTGGCTATGTCCAGGAGCGTTCTTGGAAGAGTTGCTTGATAGAGTTTCACCTTCAGCCGGAGCGAAGAGCTTGCACATCTAAGATTAAGATGTTTCAGCGTCTGAAGCTGCAGTTTGGCCTCACCCGTTGCCAAACGCCGGACGGAAATCTTGGAATTGGGGAGGCCCGTTCTGCGTGTAGCATGACAAAAGAGGGAACTGCTGTCCTCGCAGACAAACTGTGCCCGCTGTGCCCGGGATCGACACGAACTTCTCGTTTCAGCTCGTTGAGGCTCTAGAGCCAGAGATTTTCTGCTCGCTTCTGAATGGTTTAGGGTTTATGGTTGATGTAGAGGGACAAGTCTGCCAACTATTATCTTACGCGTATGTTGGCGGAGTTTTCCCAAAAGCTGACAAAGAATGCAGGGCACAGGTGCGGACCACTGCGCAGACTCATCTTAGTGGATGGCTTGGCCGCCGATAAAATTCGATGGCCCAAGCTCATCCTGATACTCGCAGTGCCTTGCAAAGCTGGACACAGAGCATAAAAGTCGGCCCGGGAAGCCCTCTGTGGCGCGCGAATCCCTGGCTTGATCCGGCCGGAGAAGTTTGTGCTTGGGCCAGGGATTTTGGGAATTTCACGGTGTAGCCTGGAAGGTCTGAGGAGTTTTCTGACAGCACAGACAGCAGAGCCTCCACCATCGAATTGACTTGGCGTTGACTTGCTGGGCCCTGATGTCGGGCGTAGAGTTCCACGGAGCCAGTGAAGCTGCTTCTAACCGGTGTGTTCAGTACAACAGTCTGATTTTGATCCCTGTGCGACATCGTGCAACTGGAGAGGTCGGATCTGGCTGTGGCCGGGCTTCTCTTGTGTTCAAAACCGCGGACAGCGATGGCAGCTCCTTAATAAGACTCTATAGGCCATGCTAACTGCTAGTATAGCACGTATGCAGCACCGTCGTGCCCGGCAGTTGCCGAACCTTGCTTCAGGACTGCACAAAACATCAGCGCGCTCATGCACGAGGGTTGCTTGATGCTTGCAGAGAGATCTAGAATCAACCTGCTTTTGAATGCTTTGAGCGAAAGATGCACTCATCTGAATCTTGACAAATAACATAGCCTGACAAACCGGAGGTTGTCCTGAGACATCTGTGGTCTGATGCCTGCGAGAAGGCACCCGACTGCGAAGGAGATTGAGCCTTGCTTCTCGCAACGCGTCCTGGGCATCCGACTGCAGGGTCATGGCAGCACGAGATGTATTTAGTGTATTTCAACCATTCGGACCTTATGGACTTATATTGGCAGCCTTTTCCCGATGCGACATGGCATCAGTTGCCGCGACCTTCGGTCAGCATTTCAATGTGAAGCGATTGAGTCTGGTGTGTTCAGATACAGCTCTCTGCATCCAGAACAATCATCACGACTTCACTGCGAATTTTGCATTCCCATCTTCTTGGAACGATGCCAAATTCTTTGCACGGCACCTGCTGTCCTGCGACAGGCTGCAAGCAATTTCACACCACCTTGGGAACAAGCCGTGCAGCGCGTTTAGACAACAACTTCTGCTGCCGCGTTGTTCGGCATGCTGCTGCAAACAAGTCAAGAGGATGATGTGCACCAGAATCACATCTCACTTGCACCGCCGCTTACCCTCGTCCGCGAGATTCTACAGAATTGGTGCTGAAATTGGTGCTTCATGACCAGGTGCAGATTAAAAGGGCAGCTGTGCAAATGCTGGGCCTGTATGACGCAGGGTGTCTACTGCAACACCACTTCTCATCGGCGGTCCTGCGCACATCTGAATTGTTCTCGCATCGACACTACTGACATGCGAAAGAAGCCCTGAAGCCCAAGCGCGGGCAACAAAGCCCAGCAATGCAGTGATTCCGGCCAGTCTTCAATCTTACAGCGACTTGGGTTTAAGGAAGCAGGCCCTGCCACGGAGCCTACGAGTTGTCAACACTTCGATTTAGATGCGAGTTCCTTCGCAATAAGCCTCTTCCAGAATCAGCTATAGCATTACTAACCCGAACATTATGCGTCAAGCAGGCTGTGGAAAGATATTTTCTCAGCTGCTCCATGCAGTGTCACTGGTCCCAGTTTGCGAACTCAAGGGGCCGAGGGTTGAAACCAGACCATGGCAAAAACGAAAACAAACCATCACATCACGAACTGGAAGTGTTGACTACTGGCGGGGTCCATTGGTGCATCTGCGATGGCAACGTGATGCATAGCTCCTCTGATGCTCGGTGCTCGCAAGTCAAGGCACCTTTTCGAACGCACTGAAGCCGCAGAGTTCAAGCTGAAAACCCTAGGATCTGATGATGCATACATTTAGGCTTTTGGGCTCAAAGACCATGCTCTACAATGCTTTTGGGCTATTTTGATCCCTAGGGATAGTGCGTGGGGAACTCCAACCTCGTCCACGACGACATCGCCGGAGAAGCACGCAACAACCTGCTACTGGGAATTTAGGCTTAGGGCAACATACCTTATTGTTGGGCTGGGGATTCTGCGCGGCAAGCAGCACAACATT